ACTTTCACTGACACCTCACAGATGTCACAGGTTTGTATACCACGTGGGCAGCAGGGAAGAAAAGTTGAACACTTCCGCCACTACTCAGATCAGGAGTCAGCTGCCTCTGAAAGGGACACGCTAGTTTTTTGCTACTGAAAGGGTCTGGTAAAGATGGACCATTCCTGATATTTGCTGTTGTACAGATTTAACGTAATATTAATTTAAGATAGTAAAATAGTTTCATACTCTTACGCCATGGGAGAGTCTCGAAGTAAAATTGAAGGATCTATTGAACCAACAATGATGTATTTTAAAACAGTGCTAAATAATACCTAATCAAAAAATGAGAAATCTAGGGGTGGTTCAGTAGGTTAAGCATCTGCCTTCGGCTCAGGTCATGATCCCGGAGTCCTGGGTTCCAGTTCCCTATCGGGCTCCCGGCTCAGCAGGGAACCTTGCTTCTCCCTCTCATCCTTGCTCCTGCCCTCTCTCACTATCTAGGTCTCTGTCTCTCTCTCCAATAAATAAATAAAATCTTTAAAAAAAATAAAAAAAGAAAAAATTAGAACAAGTGCTAAGAGGGGATCTGAGGGAAAAAAAAGTAATGTGGGGTTGTCTTGGCAAACCAAGGTATGTAATTTTAATATCATCTATATATAGGTGACTCTCAAAGCTCTATCTTCAATCTTGACCTCACTTTCAATATATAGGTGTGATTTCAAGTATTTTTGACACATAAGTCAATGTCAGATTATGACGATGCCTGCATCTCTGGCTGATATCTTAAGCTCAAGGTAGTCCCAAATAAGATCATCATATGTGAGAGCACACACACATACACATGCACACACACACCTCCCCTGCCTCCTTCTCCATTTTTAAATCAAATATTCAAACAACCTGTTATATGCCATGTAATATTTTAGGTACTGAAAAATATGTCAGTGACTAAAATGGAATCATCTCAGCTTTTATGAAGTTTCAGTCATAGGAGGCTAGGTAGAAAAATGCCCCCCAAATTGATGAATATATACAATGTCAAATAAAGATAAGTTCTATGGGAAAAGTGAATTAAAAAAACTAATGCTGACTGATTGGACAAGAATCTTTTTTTTTTTTTTTTTTAAATATTGTATTTATTTATTTGACAGAGAGACACAGCGAGAGAGGGAACACAAGCAGGGGGAGTGAGAGAGGGAGAAGCAGGCTTCCCACCAAGCCGGGAGCCCGATGCGGGGCTCGATCCCAGAATCCTGGGATCATGACCTGAGCCGAAGGCAGACACTTAACGACTGAGCCACCCAGGTGCCCCTGGACAAGAATCTTTTTATAAGACAGTCAGAGAAGGCTACTCTAATGACATGAGATGTCAGTTGAAGATTGCGGCATAGCTACTTATCAGTGACTTAGACTTGAAACTTTGATGTTGCTTCAACTTCTTATTTTTTCCTTAAATATATATTTAATTAATCCTCAATTTTGACAAAAAGAGATAATGAAATATTGCCTCTGATTTACATTCTTCATGGACCATTGGGAAAGAATGAGAGCTTTTTTTTTCTTTGCCATCTCAAGAATGCAAGTGACCTTTTTAAAAAATTTAAATTTACTGTATTGTGATAAGAACACTTAGCATAACACCTGCCATCTTAAATTTTTCTAAAGACTTATTTATTTATTCATTTTAGAGAAAGAGTACGCGGGAGCTTAGAGAGGTTTAGAGGGAAAAAAAAACCCTCAAGCAGATTCCTTACTGAGGCTACTTGGGACTCAGTCTTAACCACCCCGAGACCATGACCTGAACAGAAACCAAGAGTCAGACACTTAACTAACTGAGCCACCCAGGCACCCTTGCCCTCTTAAATTTTAAGTATGTAACACATTATTGTTGATGTAGGTACAATGTTGTACAGCAGATCTCTAGTATTTAGTCATCTTGTTTGACTAAAACTTTATGCCTGCGGATTAGTAATTCTCATTTTCCCTTCTCCCCGGGTCCTGAGAACTGTTATTCTACCCTTTGAGTCTATTGATTTGACTATTTTATATACCTTAAATAAGTGGAATCATGCAATATTTGTTATTCTGTGACAAACTTATTTCACTTAACATAATGTCCTCAAGGTTTATCCATGTTGTAGCAAAATTTAAAAAGAGGGTTATCAAATGATCCAGTAATCCTACTTCTAGTTATTTTTCCAGAAGAATTAAAATCAGGATGTGAAAAAAAAAAAAAAAGAATAGGAGTGGGAATTGGCCAAAACGGGTGTAACAATATATTACAATAACTTATTACTGCTTCATCAAGGATCATGGACATTCCTTTTTTTTTTTTTTTTTAAGATTTTATTTCCTTATTGACAGAGAGAGAGATCACAAGTAGGCAGAGAGGCAGGCAGCAGAGAGAGGGAGAAGCAAGCTCCCTGCTGAGCAGAGAGCCCGAAGCGGGGCTCAATCCCAGGACCCTGAGATCATGACTTGAGCCAAAGGCAGAGGCTTTAACCCACTGGCCACCCAGGTGCCCCAAGGATCATGGACATTCTTTAAAATTGGCTTTTTTATTCCTGCACTGCAAGATATGGTGGTAACAAATACAATAACCCCCAACACAGTTTGTGGTCACTGTCTGTAAATTTGCTAAAGCATTTGAAGTTTTACCCTCCCATTGTTTTTTCACCATCAGGGCAAATGCCAACACAAAGAAAAAGGCAAATGTCTTGTTACGATTGTGAAAGTTGTTTGCACCTTGCAAATCTCACGAGTGGATCTTGATGCTTCTGTCTCTAAAGCAGAATCTTTGTCATGTCACTCCCCTGCTTGAAAGATTCGAATTATTCATCATTGCCCACAGGGAATTTTGAGAAATCAAAGTTTTCAACCTGGAATTTAAAATTCACACAATCTTACCTTAATGTATCTTTTCATTCCCTCTGTTCCTTCAGGCACACTGGCTCCAGACAAATGAAGCTATTTCTATTCCTATTATAAACCAGGGAAATTTGCAGTTTCTTTCAACTAATTACACTGTTCTCTTTGCCTGAGTACCTTATCTTTTCTCACATTCTTTATATGAAGCCACTGTCTTGCTTCAAGGTCTAGTTCAAACAAGGCCTAAGTGGATATCATATGTCCTTCTTCTGAATGCGCATAGTACTTTGGACCCTTCCCACGCTACTAATTTTCTGTCCTGTAATAACACCTCTTCTGGCCATGTGCCTAGCAGGATGACTTGCATACAGTTGGTACCAAATAAATCCTTGAAGAAACAAATGTTTGGTTGCATTGAGTTATTTGTTTACATGTTTCCCTGCAGTTACCATATGAGATTGTTGGCTGAAATTAGGATTGATTCTTTGTTCCATGAATAAAGTATTTCTTGTTATGAAATTGATTATGGTACATGACAGTTCAACTCACCACCTTGATCTCATTAGCCAATCTGTTCTCCTTCACATCCTCAGACTTGTATAAAGATCTGTCAACCGAAAGCATTAAGAGTTAAAACACTTTGAACTGTGTAAGAGTATTGATTTTTTTTAAGTTACTTTTGAAGGATGACTGAGACAAAATTACCATTTAGTTATTTTTGTTGACCATCCAAGTAAATTACTCAGAACAAAAGAATGACCCCCTACCAACTCAGTATCTTCTTTTTGGTTTCAAACAACTATTTTAGGAACCATAAGGAAGTAGCCTAGTGTGATTAAGAGTTTCCCATACCTAAATCACTTACTGTGGATAATTATTTAGTACAAGGACCTAAACATACCACCTATAACTAGCATTAGAGACTAGAGCTTGTCTTTGAGGGAATCTCAGAGAGCTCATTTCATTTCACAGAAGACACTAAGAAAACCTTAGAATATAAAAACAAAATGAAGTTTCTCTATTGGTCTGTCTAAATTGGGATGAAATTTCACATATCATGCCTTCCCTAGACATAGCTCTGTCTAGCCCAATCTGCTCTATGCCAGCTGTTTTAGACACTAAACAGCCTCTTTCCTACTATACCAAGTTGCCTCCAGGATAACATGTTTGGGACAATTTCCCTTGTTTGTTTCTTCAGGAGTCTAGAGCTTCTGCTTCCTTAATCAGCCCATTCGACTTAGGTCAAAAGCCAGTCCTGTATCCTCTCTCTCTACCTCCTGGGTAGTTGTACATTGTAACAATAGTCTTCCCCCTCAAGTACCATTCGCTTTTGTCTCCCCCCCCTCTGGCAACCTTTGGGTGTACATTTCAATAGCTTCTCATTCAGAGGAGGGAGAAAAAAAAAGATGAAATCCTGCTTTTGTTAGATACCTCTCCTGTATAAATACGAATTTTCCATTTACCAAAAGATGCTGACTCCTTCTTACAAAATACGTTAGCTAGTTCTATCCTGAATTCACTGATAGTATGTGCAAGAGTTTCCCCCTCCACAAATGGCTCTACGTGGATTTTTCTTTGTACTCTGATTTCCTCTGAGTAGCTGACATTTCTATTTAAAATATCATTTTGTTAATTTTAGGACTTGGAACATAGAAGCAGATGCCATAAACTAAAATAGTTAATGATGAAATCAAGAAAGATAAAAGCCTTGGTGCTTTCCCCCACAGATATTTTAGTTTAGGTCTTTTCCTAACCAGTGACAATTTCACCTTTCGTTGAAAGAGCTCTGAATGATTTGAGAGGAGGTGAGGGGATATCTGATGGAGTGGAACCAAAATGAATTGTTGAACTAATTCAGGAGCTGCCCATTTCGAGGAAAGAATGTATATGCCTGTCCTTTGAAGTTTCTGTATGCCATGTTATGCTTTTTATTAACCTACTACATTTTCTTATATTATTTGATGAGTATTCTATGTGAATAGACTTCAGTAGACTTTGGTGAGATGGAATTGAGCAATGCCTAACTCAATCTTTTGAGTTAAGATGATGCTGGTCACCCCGCCCTATGTGAAATGTACCAGCTTTAAAAAAAAAAGGATTTCTTTGAATGCCCTTTTACGTTATAAATATTTTTATTATGTTTTGCCTAGTTGGGTACACAATGAATGATCTCATTTTTGAATGGCAAGATGAGGCACCTGTGCAAGTGGCTGAAGGACTCACTTTGCCCCAGTTTCTGCTGAAAGAAGAGAAAGATTTACGATACTGCACTAAACATTACAACACAGGTAGGGGTTGAGCTTTCTTTATTACACTTATGACTTCTGGTTTTATGATATTCAGTGTTTCTTAATTATAGTGGTTGGTTAATTATTTTAAGTATTTATAGCTCAGTGTTTTTCATAGTCATAGAGCAGAAAACGAATGCATATGGAATTTACAGATGTTTGGACTCAGTGCATATTGTTATATAATTGATTTGTATAGTACCAAAGAAGTACTTGGTATTCAATTATATTTATTTTTCTTTTTGCCAAAAGCTCATAGTTACATACTAATGTTTCCAAAAAAGTTCCTTTAATTTCTATGTGAACAATAAAATGTACTTTTTAGCTCTTCTTGGGCATTATAAACTGTGTTTGATAACATAATAAAAGAAATTGTTTTGTTTTTGTTTTTGTTTTTTTTCTTTCAAGGCTTCATTACTTAAACCTTCTTGGCTACAGTTTCATGCATTTCAGGTTATTGTTACTTAAGTACCTACTACTCACACTGACACAGTAGCATTTTACCTTTGAGGACCGATAAAAGATATTGCTGTCAAGGACTTAGAGACTTAATGGGATATTTGCACATTCATGAGGTCTGTTCACTTCTCTCAACCAGCACGGGCTATTCTCATAATATCTATTCTTGCTGCCTAACCTATTCCTACAAAACCTGTTAAACCACCCACAAATGAGTCATCACTTCAGTGCGGTTAGTCCACAACATCTCATTAGCATCAGCTGCTGCTCTTATTATTTCCTTACGGCAACTATGATTCCTCTTTAGCTCATCCTTTTCCAGGACTGTGACTTGACCTTTCACTGTACAAGGTCTTTAATCTCTTTAATCTCTTTAATCAAGTCACAATATCTGGTGAAAAAGTCACTGCCATTTTCTTAACCCAGCAGTGAGAGTGATATTTAATTTAGTGGGGAGTTCAAGGTTCATCTCAACACAAAGACAAAGGCAAGCGGGTTCATACCAGTGTCCTTGCTCAACTCTATAGGGGCAATTACAATGACAAGCAAATTTTAGAGAGATGCTAAGAGGCCTCTAGAGGTAGTTTAAGTTGGTGGATTGATTGCCTAGGGCTGCTGTAACACAGAATGACAAACGTGGTGGTATCCCTTACCTATTTCCCCGAAACCCTCTTCTCTGTTTTCCCCTTACTCTGTAATTTGGCGACAGGGGCTTGTTTTCTTACATATGCCACACTGATTCCTGCTTCAAGGCTTAGTAATTGCTCTTTGTCTTCTTCTTTTGCTAGTTATTTATTTTTTAATTTAATTTAATTTTTTTTCAGTGTTCCAAAATTTATTGATTATGCACCACACCCAGTGCTTCAAGCAATACGTGCCCTCCTTAATACCCACCACCAGGCTCACCCCTCCTAACACCTCCCAAAAACCCTCAGTTTGTTTCTGAGTCCACAGTCTCTCATGCTTCGTCTCCCCCTCCAATTTCCCCCACTTCACTTTTCCTTTCTTTCTCCTGATGTTCTCCTTGTTATTCCTTATTCTCCACAAGTAAGTGAAACCATGTGATAATTGTCTTTCTCTGCTTGACTTATTTCACTCAGCATAATCTCCTCCAGTTCCGTCCATGTTGATGCAAAAGTTGGGTATTCATCCTTTCTGATGGAGGCATGATACTCCATTGTACATATGGACCATATCTTCTTTTTCCATTCATCTGTTGAAGGGCATCTTGGCTCTTTCCACAGTTTGGTGACCGTGGCCACTGCTGCTATGAACATTGGGGTACATATGGCCCTTTTTTTTTTCACTTCATCTGTATCTTTGAGGTAAATACCCAGTAGTGCAATTGCAGGGTCATAGGGTAGCTCTATTTTTAATTTCTTAAGGAATCTCCACGTTATTTTCCAAAGAAGTGGCTGCACCAACTTGCATTCCTACCAACAGTGTAAGAGGTTTCCCCTCTCTCCACATCCTCTCCAACACGTGTTGTTTATTTTCTTGTTAATTTTGGCCATTCTAACTGGTGTAAGGTGGCATCCCAGTGTGGTTTTGATTTGAATCTCCCTGATGGCTAATGATGATGAACATTTTTTCATGTGTCTGTTAGCCATTTGTACGTTTTCGTTGGAAAAGTGTCTGTTCATGTCTTCTGCCCATTTTTTTTTGATGTGGTTCTGTTTTGTGTGTGTTGAGTTTGAAGAGTTCTTTATAGATCTTGGATATCAGCCCTTCATCTGTAGTGTCATTTGCGAATGTCTTCTCCCTTTCCCTTTGAGATCAGGGACACGACAAGGATGTCCACTCTCACCACTGTTGTTCAACATATTACTGAAAGTCCTAGCAACAGCAATCAGACAACAAAAAGAAATAAAATGTATTCAAATTGGCAAAGAAGAAGTCAAACTCTCTCCCTTCACAGATGACATAATACTTTATACAGAAAACCCAGAAGACTCCACCCCCAAACTACTAGAACTCATACAGCAATTCAGTAATGTGACAGAATACAAAATCATTGTACAGAAATCAGTTGTTTTCTTCAACACTAACAATGAACATATAGAAAGGGAAATTAGAGAATTGATTCCATTTATTATAACACCAAGAACCATAAGAGACCTGGGAATAAACCTAACCAAAGGGGTAATGGATCTCTACTCGAGGAACTACAGAGCACTCATGAAAGAAATTGAAGAAGACAAACAAACTGAGGGTTGCCTGGGGAAGGAGGGTTGGGAGAGTGTGGTTGGGTTATGGACATTGGGGAAGGTGTGTGCTATGGTGAGTGCTGTGAAGTGTATAAATCTGGCGATTCACAGACCTATACCCCTGGAGCTAATAATACATTATATGTTAATAAAAATTAAAAAAAATTTAAAAAGGGAAATTGAAGAAGACACAAAAAGATGGAAGAGTATTTCATGCTCAGTGATCAGAAGAATAAACACTGTTAAAATGTCTATACTGCCCAGAGCAATCTATACTTTTAATGCCATCCTGATCAAAATTACACTGACATTTTTCAAAGAGGTGGAACAAACCTAAAATTTGTATGGGACCAGAAGAGACCTTGAACTTCTAAGGAAATGTTGAAAAAGAAAAACAAAACTGGAGGCATCATGTTGCCTGATTTCAAGCTTTACTACAAAGCTGTAATCACCAAGATAGCATGGTACTGGCACAAAAACAGACACATAGACCAGTAGAACAGAGTAGAGAGCCCAGATATGGACCCTCAACTCTATGGCCAAATAATCTTTGACAAAGCAGGAAAAAATATACAGTGGGAAAAACACAGTCTCTTCAATGAATGATGCAGGGAAAATTGGACAGCTATGTATAGAAGAATGAAACTTGACCATTCTCTTACACCATACACAAAGATAAACTCAAAATGGATAAAAGACCTCAGCATGAGGCAAAAATCTATCAAAATCCTAGAGGAGAACATAGGCAGTAACCTCTTAGACATAGGTCACAGCAACTTCTTTCAAGACATGTCCCCAAAGGCAAAGGAAACAAAAGCGAAATGAACTTTTGGGACTTCCATCAAGATCAAAAACTTCTTCTTTTGCTATTTAAATTTTGTTTTATTTATTTTTTTTATTATGTTCAGTTAGGCACCATATAGTACATCATTAGTTTTTGATGTAGTATTCAGTGATTCATTAGTTACATCTAACACCCAGTTCTCATCTCAGTATGTGCCCTCCTTGATACCCATCAACTGGCTACCCCACACCCCACCCCACATACATATTTCTATACATACATACAATTTCCCCAAATTATCCCAAACCAAATACTCTCACATTCTTCAGGACTGCTCAAATATACATCTCCCTGACAAGTATATGTTAAACACCCATATCCCACCTTCAACTGACTGCTTTCACTGTCTAAAATTTTATCTTTAATTTATATGTTTACTTATCTATGGTTGTTTCCCTTATGAACAAATGTTTTTTAAAACCAATGATTATAGCTATTCTTTCTATTTCCATGTTTTCTGGGCTCTGCTTAAGTACAGAGACACCCAATACATATTTGTTGAGTAAAAAAATAAAGAAAAAGTAGATTTGAACCTGGAAAATGTGTCTGTACTTACAACCTGCCCCCTGGGAGCAGATTTACCCTGAACAGGAAACTTTTCTTTTAGATCTGTATCAGCAAGAAGGCTTTTTGTCCACCAGTTTTACTGAGGTGTGTAATTGACATAAAATAATAGGATAATGAGTGTACAATGGGATGGTTTAACACAGGTATACCCTGTGAAATGATTCCCCCCATCAGGTTAGTTAACACATCCAGCACCTCGCCCATTTACCCTTTTGTGTGTGAGAGAATATTTATGTTCTACTCTCTTAGCAAATCTCAGTTATACAGTACAGTGTTATCAGCTATAGCGACCATGTTATAATAGATCCCCAGACTTTGTTCATCTTGTAACTAAAGAATTTTTAAAAACAACTCTATTGAGATTTAATTTAGGTCCTTTAAATTCACTGTTTAAGGAATAAAGCTCAATGATTTCTAGTATATTTACAGAAGTGTGCAATCACCAACCTAATCTTAGAATATTTTATCACCTGAAAAAAAATAAACTTTATATCCATTAGCAGTCCTCCCCATCCAGCAGCTCCAGGCAATCACTAATTAACTTTCTGTCTCTATAGCTTTATACTTTGGGGATGTTTTATATAAATGGTATCATATGTGGTCTTTGTGATAGTCTTCTTTAAATTAGAAGAATGTTTTGAGATTCATCCCCCTGGTGGCATATTTCACTACTTCATTTTTTTATTGCCAAATAGTACTCTATTGGATAGATATACCTCATTTTGTTTATTCATTCACCAGTGCTAGACATTTGGGGTATTTCCAACTTTGGACCATTTACAAACACCCACATACAAGTTTTGGGGTGATGTATGTCATATCTCTTGCATATGGAATTAGGAGTGGAAAGCTGGATCATATGGTAAATCTATGTCACCAAACTTTTTCAAAGTATTCACACTCTTTTGCAATCCTTTCAACAA